GATAGTTGTAATCCTTAGAGTATAGCTTTTATGAGAAAAATGATTTTATAGTGGGTTGCCATTTAAAAAAAATAATTTTTTTGTAGAACTCAAAAACAAAAGAAAATTTCGAAAAATTTTATTCTTGTTAAATCATCACATTTTTATAGTACTTTATCACTCATTAATTAGTTTTTTCAAAAAATAAATAGTTTAAGCAAAAACGTTTGGTTCCATACTTTTTATTCACCTGGTATGTATATGTAATGTTGTAGATGAGTTTTTTTGCAAAAGCTGACTTTCTTTTGTAGGGTGTTTTAACTTCCTTTATTAGGAACCAGTATTAATCCTCCATCATAGCTGGATGCCATCTCCCTTGGTACCTATTTTCCATCCTCAATATATCCTGGTGGAACCTTTCCCCATGCTCGTCACTAACGGCAGTTTGGGGGAATTTTTTTTTAATGAGAATGGAGAAAATGAATTTTAAGTGTTTCGTTTTTCGGCGATTTTGTCGAACATACTTATGATATCTTAAAATGCCTAACTTTAAAATTTGACGTGCTATGGAATTTTCTTTATCATTTTTGAGTTTCGCACATAGAATTAAACAAAAAATAACTGTTTTCTTCTCAGTCAAAAATACTTGTTGACTGGTGTTATTAAATTAATCAACAAAGTATCAAATAACAAGTAGTTTCTTTATCGTTATTGTTGATTGTTCTCATTGTGATTACAAATATCAGAAAAATTGTTGCATATCTATACAGGGTTATCCACGAGAAGGTTATTTCTAAAAAAAAATTGCCGCAACTAACAATACTAATATCACTAACTGCTAAATTAAATATGTTATTTCTTTTAAATTAGAAATCAAAGTAAGTGGGATAGATTCTCCAGAAATGTCAGATTGACAGATAACCTATACAGGGTGATTCAGATAAGATAATGAGCCCGATGTTCTAACAATGCAACCCAAATAACAAATTTTATTTACGTGTTGATTCAATTTTAATTACGATTTGCATTTGGAATCGAAGTTATTATCTTAACTTGAAATTTGTGTGAGTGTAATTTATCCATGCAATTCCATAAATTTTTAAAAAAATAATTTGTGAAAGGACTGAAATATAAGAATTCATTTCAACAGACTTGAAAACCCAACGAAATCAATCTAAAATTACCACCAACCACGGTTTCACATGCGAACCTGCTATAAAACCACCCGAACCCTCACCATCACCACCATATTAGTCTCCACCAACGCATCAGAAACATTCAACAACTGAACATCTTAAAAATGTTCAAAATAGTCGTTTTCTTCGTGTCCATTGCCTCCGCTCTCGCGAAACCCGGACTTCTTCACGGAGTGGCCGCTCCAACGGCCTTTAGTCAACAGACAAGACATGACATCATCCATCCCGGAGTCATCACCTACACCACCGCCCACGCCGCTCCGGTAGTCGCCGCAGCGCCTGTTGCAGTGGCCGCTCCTGCGGTCCAGGTTTCCAGCGCTGCTACTTCTCACCTCGATGTTCGCCGTCCTCTTGTGGCGGCCGCTCCGGTGGCTGTTGGAGTAGTTGGACATGCCGGAGGATTGGGATTAGGGGGTGTCGGACTGGGATTAGGAGTGGGATTTGGAGGACAAGGGCATGGAGTGCACGGATATGGGAAATAAGACATTTCAAAATTGATTTTCTTTCTTTTGTGAAATACTGATATTTTCTACTCAACGAATAAATTTTTTCGATATTTTAACTATAATTGTTTGATTTAAATACAAAAATGCAAAACAGCAGAGCGTAAAAGTTATAAAAAAACAATGCAAAACAAAACACTTATCTTTGAAATTTAGTATACATATTCATATTATCAAGAATTTAAAATACAAAAAAGATTAAACGTAAGAGAGTTTTATATTCCTTGAGTACGAAAACAAAAATCTACAAATAGAATCAATTTAAAAATAACTCACCTGACATACTCCCGATGGTTGTGAAATGTAAAAGCAATAACACAGGGCGACAAAAAAAAGTCATGTCGTGAAAACTTGACAAATTTTATATCATTTTGTTCGTCTCAGTGAGACAAATTAAATACACTAAAAAAAAATTTAAAAAGTTCACACACTTTGAACTAAATAATTTTTTTCTAATTTAAATGAATTTATGATTTTTTGAAGTTGAGGTTTTCTATTCAGGTATTGCGCCATATAGAAGAAATGCATGTTAATCTTACTTAAAATTGCATTTTTATAAAAGTATTTGTTTTAAGACTCTTCTTTTGCTTAAAAATGGTCAATTGCACCTTCTTTGTTCTAATTAGAATAAACAAAAAACTGTTTCTTTACTTAGAAAAAACAAAGAGTGTCTGCGTACTAATTAAAACAAATAAGTAAATAAATAAGTTTTTTTGTTCTAAAAGTGATCACTGATCATTGAGCAAAAAGGATCTAGAAGTTTAAATAAAGTAGTAGCTTTAAATATAAGAACAAATCTTTTTCATATTAAATCACTTTCCATTACAACTTGTTCACTTTGTTCTAGCTTTCTGAACTTTTTTTTGAAAATGTCCTCAGCAAATGCTTTCTCATTACTTTCGAATGATGTTGAATGCAATAAGTCAGTTGCTTCGTGTGCAACTGTTATCACAACAACTACTGTGATGGGCTAAAAAGCCCTTGATGTTCTTTTTAAAGACTTAAAGTCTTTGATATTGTAAAGAGACCAAACCTATGAAGTTAAATTGCGGTCAATAACACAGACTCTTCGTAATTCATAACGTAAACACAATTAGAGCAGGCGACGAGTTTTTCGCGGAAGACTTAAAATCTTAAGTGCGTTTTATGATTCTTATGATTCACTAAATATTCGCGCTAGACTGTCCTTGCCCTGTGCACTGAAAAGAACTCATCGCAAGAGATGACGTGTTATTCGCCCTATAAAAAGGAAGCGAGAATATCGCTAAGAGATCAGTCAAAAATCAGTCGTCTAGTCGAATCAGACTAGTTGTGTCAATTGAAGAAGAAGCTGCCAAAACATCCTGTGCCACCATCTGAGGCCAGAAGCTATCAGCCCAAAGCAGCCTGATTGTTCTATTGCATAGTCATGAGCTGTAAGTTTTGCTTTATTTTTCCTTTGACTGTTCACGTTGCTCCGACTTACCATGCCGTACCATATTATGATTTTGTTGTGGATTTTCGAACGAAATGTCAACCGAAGCCGTTATCAAAATTTCCAAATTATTTAAGTAATGTTTTGCTAAGCTAAAGCGTTTGGGCCGGGATGAACTTGAAATATAAGCGTGTTGAAAGACGGATAGGTTCATGAGTCAAAGCAATGACGACAGAGATTTGGTCTCTGGTTACAATTCACAAACCCCAAGTTAGGTTTAAGATATTAGTTTCATTTATCGTTTGTTTCTTATTGGAGTGTTAAGTTGACAAATGAAAACCAGAAATGTCATACGATACCAAATAAGCCTGATACAGCAATTACAATGTTTTTCCGAATTGAATAATAAATACCTTTTGATTGTTTTTCCTAATTTCGTTAAAGTCCATAGTTAGTGTAAAATTACTAATTTAATCAGATCTTTGTATGAAAAACGTACCATAATCACCATTTGTTATTTTATTCCAAATACATTAGTTTAATAATTAAATGCATTTTTAATTGACTGCACCTTACTCTCCTGAAATTGATTGATCTCACGGGTTGGCTGAGGTCCTACGTTCAAAGAAATTTAATCGCTCTGTTTGGTGGGCCACCGCTCGCCCAAAATAAAGGTAGGTTCAAAAAGTTGTAAAAAACTCAATAACCCACCACACTACTACGTACAAGCTAACTGAAGCTAATCGTAGAATGTATGTACCAAAAAATGTTTAGAAAGCTAGAACAAAGAGAACAAGTCGAAATCTGAATAGAAAGTGATTTGATTTGAAAAAGATTTGCCCTTATATTTAAGGCTCGTGCTTTAAACTTCTAGATTCTCTTTGCTCAATGATCAGTGGTCATTTTTACAACAAAAAATCCTTTACTTGCTTTAATTAGTACGCAGGTACCCTTTATTTGTTTTAGGTAAACAAACAGTTTTTGATTATTCTAATTAGAACAAGAAAGGTATAATTAACTATTTTTAAGCAAAAGAAGAGTCTTAAAACAAATATTTTTATAAAAATGCAATTTTAAGTAAGGTTAACATGCATTTCTCCTATATGGAGCAAACCTTAAAACTTCAAAAAATCATATCTTGAAAACTACTCGCGGTATATTCATTTGAAAATTTGGATTACAACTAATAAAGAGATGCTCTTCTACACGATGGTAATGATGAAAAAAAAATTACTCGTAAGGTTTTTCTTAGATTTCGATTTACTTCGAACACTGTTCGAAGAAAAGTTTGCCAATATTTAATTTCAAATTTCATATCATTCTAAAGGGCAAGGCCATCCCTTTAGAAAAGTCATTATTTGAAGGAAATCGGCCTAATAATTATTGAGTAATGATTTTTTAAAGTTTAAGTATTGAAATTCATTTAAATTAAAAAAAATATATTTATTTCAAAGTGTGTGGACTTTAAAAATTTTTTTTAGTGCATTTGATCACTGAGACGATCAAAATGATATACAATTTGCCAAGTTGTCACGACATGACTTTTTTTGTCGCCCTGTGTAATAATTAGTTAATAATACGTAAATACGTCAACAAATAAATAAAAATTGTATACCTAAACAATACATTGACAATAAAAACTGGATAGTTCTTCAAACAATTTTTGAAATTTTGCCTGAAAATACAACCTGGTTGTCATAAAACTTAAAATAACACACAAAAACCAGTTTTGTAACCATAAAGCAAGTGTAAATGTATTGGAGAAAAAAATGTTCTTTAAAAAAATTAGTATACAGGGTTGATTCTTAAATAGACCGACAAAATTTTATCACATCTTCCTCAGGACAAATGGAGACAAACTTTACCCTTTTTATGTTTATACCTTTTAGGGGCAGAACCCCCTTGATCCGTGCCACTTACGGCGTTTATGAATTGTTGCAATAGTCAAGTACGTTAATACCATGGTTACCACTACCTGTGCTAACACATCAGTGGCGTACGCTTTACTTGGAAAATAAATTTAATAAATTTTATTTGAAGAACGTTTAAACAAAGAATTTTTCAAATATTTTTTCCAGCATGTTCTCATTTGATACTACCAAGGATAAAATTTTGTCGGTCTATTTAAGAATCAGCCTGTATACAGTTCGAACCACACTGTAGTAGTGTCCTGTCGATAAATCTATACCACTAATTTATTCATAAACATTTATTTACAAATCATTTCAAAACGACTTTGTTTTGTTCACGGTAAAATGATTTTACCTAACCTTTATTTAAAAAAAATCTTATCGCTCAAATTTACATTTCTGAATATTACCTACAACTCACACGCTTAGTTTGTTTTTATTCCATCATTATTCATGTACTTTGAACACAAATGACAACTATGCTTATGACAATACTTTTGTTTAAAATAATAGATGGTAAGTCTATAAACTTGTGATATTAATTGTCTCAAAATTTATTTTTAGGAAAAAACCTCATCGAAAAATCTGTGCCCGAAGGACGAATAATAGGAGGTAATTACGCTCAAATCAACAAATATCAATTTATCGTTTCCGTTAGATACGGATTTAAAGAAGAACATGGTTGTGGTGGTACCATAATTGGTTCCAATGTTGTTTTAACAGCAGCCCATTGTCTCTACTTACGTGATCCGTAATATGTCGAGCAATTAATTACATAATCAAAGTTATGAAAACTAATCAGTATTTCAGTCAGATACGGTTCAAATAATTTGCTTGAGAATAACATCAGAAATATTATCATTTATGGCATATATCACCACGACTATAATCCCAAGACTTTTCGTAATGACATTGCTGTTGTCTTCTTGCGTGACACCATAAAATTTTGTGAGAATATAAAACCTGTGATTCTTGGTAAATTGAAATCGTTATACCAACCAGTAGAAGTTGTAGGTTGGGGTATTGTTAACCCAAAAGACTCCCTTTCTACTTCAAATGAACTCAGAATAGTAGAAATGAGAGCACTTTACCCTCGCAATTGTAAAAAACAAATGGCAAAAAAATACAAGTCGCTAATTTATTCAACACATATTTGCACTAAAGGTACAAGAGGAAAAGGTGACTGTCAGGGAGATTCAGGAGGTCCGCTTCTTGATAAAAGTGGAAATCAAGTTGGAATTGTTTCTTGGGGAGTTTCATGTGCTAATAAATTACCCAATATTTATACAAACGTCGAATCTTATATCACGTGGTTGAGAAATAGAACAAAAATTAACTTAAGAATAGATAATAAATAATTTTTTTCAAACCACACATTTATTTTATTTATCCCATTTTTTGTAACACTTTTTCAAAATCATCCGACTGATGCGACATCAGAAATACAAACTGAAATATGACGATCACAAAAGTAACAAGTGTACTCAACATTTTGAATATTGTTGATTTTTCGATCCTGAAAAATCTAGCCGCTGAAAATTTCGGTAACACATTATTGTTGATTACAATAACGTATTGCAGTTTTTGATTTTTGGATTTAATCTTCTGTAAAAGGTCAAAAATGGTGTTAGCTTCTTTAATCACGTCATCACATTTTACATAAATTGCAAATATTCCTACCTAGAACAAAAGTAACAGAAAAAAGATAAATGAAGAGTTATCGACATACCAAATAAATAAATATAAGCGTAATGTCAGTTACTATTAACTCTATTCTAGAGCTAGCTATCTCTCCTATGGCAGACTCAAAACAGTAAAGAATTTTCAGTGAAGTGTATAACACAAGAAAAAGTATTGGCCATCCAAAAATTTCATTAAAGATGTCAACAGACTCTTTCAAAACAAAGACACTGTATGCACATTTTTTCAAAACTTCAATATTTTGTCTTTCCATTAGCAGCCTCCTTATAAATCTATATCTTGTTAGCAACATTTCGAGAATCACGTAAATTAAAATATTGTAGTAAAACTTCATGTAAAATTGTAGTAATTCAAATAAACACCACTTGACGTACAAAAATTTTAAGATTTTTAACCACAACCAGCTTGCATAAAGCACCACAAATAAATATATCACATGAGACAGTACAAATGTAACCAAATAAGGTTTTTTCTTTTTAAGTGTTGCAGTTTCCAAAATTTTTAAATTTTTAAAGAACAAGGACCACTCATGTTTTTTAAAGTACGCCCCAATCAAAGTATAAATATTCATGAAGAATAAGACAGCATCAGATAACATCCTGATAACTAACTTGACGAGAGTGAGTCTCGCATACAATGAACGTTTGTTGTATAAAGTACTTGCTAAGCCCACTGTAAACAGAATTAAAAATACTAACTTGTACTTTTTTCCGAAGCATGTTATTTTGATTTTTTTTGAAGTCGGAATTACAGCAAAAATATTTCCAATTGTGAGCAAAATATCTAGTGTTGAAAAATCCATTTTACAATTGCGGCAACATTTGGTATTTGTTGGCAAAACGTAAACACATGACATGTTTGAATAAAAACATCATAACAACGTAATTTGTGACAAAAAAATTGTTGTTTTATTCTTATTTACATTTGGCCACAAACAAATTAAATACTTATTTTGTATTTCTAGTAGGTATCAAAATCAGTAAAATTTAAGCTATCGTATAATGCAATCCACTGCTGGTAAGTCTCGTCCTTTGGATGATTTCTTATTTCCAAACTAGCGTTAATATTGACATAGAAAAAGTCTCCATCATCCGTTGAAACAACTGGCCAAGTGATATTTTGCAAGATTTGTGAGGGTTCCGGCGTTGGATTTCTTAAATACTTGAATATGAGAAACACTAAACTGAAAAAGACAGTCAACTTACTGGTACTTTGCAAAATCAGTCCAAATTTTAATAAGTCGTTGCCGCGTAATTTTATCACTTTCAGGGTAAGTGCTATCATTACAATTAGATCCAGAACAAAACAAATATCCCAGTTCTTCAGCATGAGCAACACTTTCAGCACCATCATAATGAATATCAGTTTTTCCCATAGAACCATGACGTGAAAATTGATAAAAGTACGTTTTGGCTAATTTTGAATAAAATTCAGCAAATTTACGAGTAGATTTAGTAAATGAGGTGTCACTGGAATACTTTAAATCATTATAAATAGGTATGATTTATCCTAATTAAAATTCAGAGAATTACCCTAATGCCGTCCCCGAATCGGCTACCGAAAGGCTGACCTCCGGTATAAATGTCTCTGATCGATTTTCCCATTTCTAAACGCTTATTCTCGTCAATAATATGCATGTTATTGTTTACTATTAAGCTCAAATTATCATCCCACGCTTTTAGAGTGTTTTGTAAAACAGTGGGATCTGAACACATCGATAATTTTTGTTACTTTTTGATAAATAACCAAATACCTGGATTAAAAAGTAAACATTCTTCAGAATTAAAACCTAGAAGGGTGGGCACTTTTAAAATATTTCCGACCTGAAGCAACCCGTACATTTTTTTTGTAATAACAGCGTCTGGATTTTTTACTTCAATTACAGGTGCCCAGGTTAACCCTTGTGCAACGTCATAGTCCCATGGAGTTGCTTCCTGATAATTCACTGAAAAATTATAAATTTTCAACATGAGTATCAGCTACCTGAACCATGTATTTATTAGCAGCAGCAAGTATTTCTATAGATTCGACACTTTGCAAATAGTTTAGTAATACTTGAGAATCATTATTTGTTTCAAAAGTCGAGTTCAGGATAGTAGCTAAACCAAAAGCTTCTTTTCTGGGATTTCTTTGGAAAGACCATGGACATAAAAATGAGCCACTTTCTAAAATAGCTCCTTGGAAAAATCCTACAATAATAAATTATTTATAATAATTAATTTAATGATTTTAAAATGTGCCTTCTTTTGATTCAGCATTAGGACAGTGGCAGAGACCGCTCCTGCACTTTGTCCAAAAATCGTGATTTTTTCAAAATTCCCCCCAAATAACCCAATGTTATCGTGAGTCCACTTAAGTGCAAGTTTTTGATCTTTCAATCCGTAATTTCCAGAGATCACATCGTCGCCGGTTGATAAAAACCCTGAAACTTTGATTAAAATCAAGAAATTTTGAATGTGAATTTTTTTACCAAAAGGACCTAATCTATAATTGATAGTGACCAAAAGTACATCGTTATTAACAAACAAATCAGGTCCAAAATTAATGCTTGAACCATGGATAAACGCACCACCATGCATAAAAAACATAACTGGTAGCAGTTCAGTGGTTTTATTTTCTGGAAGCTAGAGCACATTTCTATGTCCACAAATGTTAATGTTAATAAAAAAATGAACTAACTTGTGGTGTAAACACATTAATGTAAAGACAATCTTCGGATTGTGACTGATCATCAATTTGTAGTTGTAGACAACTCACGTCTATTCGTGTAGTGTCAAGGATACCTTCCCAATTTTGAGCAGGTTGGGGTGCTTTGAATCTCAAAGGCCCTAACGGTGGAGTAGCATATGGAATTTTTTCAAAAGCATAATAAGTTTTGTTTTGTAATGTTATATCTTGTCGTCCTCTAATTTTTCCATTGGGTAATGTGATGATAAGATCATCAATCTGTGTGTTAGGATTAAAAATTAAAAATTTTACATATTAAAAATTTTTTAAACTTACAGAAAACCCAGATTGTGCAAGCACAAGTAAAAACAAAACTGGTCCAAACATGTTTATTGTTTCCTTATAACTAATTAAATAAAAACGAATTCAAGGTTTAATTGCTGAGATAAATATGCTATAGATATAAAACTTAATCTTCAAAAAACCACTTCATAATAATCCTGATGAATAAAAAATTTGCAAATTTACGGGTGGATCTAAAATTGCTGCAACATTTGATACAGGTGAGATAAAAAGTGACACATGTTTGAATAAACAACACAATAACAACAATAAATGTGTGACCAAAGCAACTTTTTATTATTATTTGTTTTCTGCATCTTTGTTAAATTGAGTTGAATTTTTTTATTTTCATTCATCACAAACAAATTAGGTAAACACGAATTTTGAGTTTCTAGTAGGTATCAAAATCAGTAAAATTTAAGCTATCGTATAGTGCAATCAACTGCTGGTAAGTCTCGTCCTTTGGATGATTTTTAATTTCCAAACTAGCGTTAATATTGACATAGAAAAAGTCTCCATCATCTGTTGATACAATTGGCCAAGTGATATTTTGCAAGATTTCTGAGGGTTCCGGTGTTGGGTTTCTTAAATATTTGTATAAAAAAAAACTATTAATGAAGAAGAAAATTAACTTACTGGTACTTTGCAAAGTCAGTCCAAATTTTAATAAGTCGTTGCCGCGTGATTTGGTCACTTTCAGGGTAAGTGCTATCATTACAATCAGATCCAGAACAAAATAAAAATCCCAGTTCTTCAGCATGAGCAACACTTTCAGCACCATCATAATGAATATCAGTTTTTCCCATAGGACCATGATGCGAAAATTGATAAAAGTACGTCTTAGCTAATTTTGAATAAAATTCAGCAAATTTACGAATGGATTTAGTAAATGAAGTGTCACTGGAAAGCTTTAATCGATTTAAAAATAATTTATGTTACTTTTAAATTCGGAGAATTTACCCGGATACCATCCCCTAATCGGTTACCAAAAGGCTGACCTCCGGTATAAATGTCTCTGATCGATTTTCCCATTTCTAAACGCTTATTTTCGTCAGTAATTTGCATGTTATTGTTTACTATTAATCCCAAATTATCGTCCCACGCTTTTAGAGTGTTTTGAAAAACATTATGGTCTGTAATTTGATCATTTTTTTATTATATAATGATAAAAAAACAAATACCTGGATTAAAAAGTAAACTTTCTTCAGAATTAAAACCTACAAGGATGGGCACTTTTAAAATATTTCCGGCCTGAAGTAATCCATACATTTTTTTGGTAATAAAAGCGTCTGGATTCTTTGTTTCAGTTACGGGTGCCCAGACTAATCCTTGTGAAACGTCATAGTCCCAAGGAGTTGCTTCCTAATTTATTAATAAATTATAATTTTTTCAACATGATTATCAACTACCTGAGCCATGTATTTATTAGCAGCAGCAAGTATTTCTACAGATTCGACACTTTGCAAATAGTCTAGTAATACTTGAGAATCAGTATTTGTTTCAAAAGTTGAGTTCAGGATAGTAGCCAAACCAAAAGCTTCTTTTCGGGGATTTCTTTGGAAAGACCATGGACATAAAAATAAGCCACTTTGTAAAATAGCTCCTTGGAAAAGACCTATAATAAGTTATTTACAATAAAGTATTTAAATAACATTAAAATGTGCCTTCTGAATTTTGATTCAGCAGTTGGTAAGCGACAGAAGCCGACCCTGCACTTTCTCCAAAAATCGTAATTTTTTCTGGATCCCCTCCAAACAACTCAATATTATCGTGAGCCCACTGAATTGCGAGTTTTTGATCTTTTAGTCCGTGATTTCCCGGGATCACGTCGTCACTGGTTGACAAAAAGCCTAAAACTTTGTATGAAACCAAGAAATTTTTAATGTGAATTTTGTTACCAAAAGGACCTAATCTGTAATTAATAGTGACCAAAAGTACATCGTTGTTAACAAACAAATCAGGGCCAAAATCAATACTTGAGCCTTGGATAAACGCTCCACCATGTATAAAAAACATTACTGGTAGCAGTTTGTTTGTTTCATTTTCTGGAAGCTATAATTAACGTTTTTGTGCCCATAAATGTTAATAAAAATGAACTAACTTGTGGTGTAAACACATTAATGTAAAGGCAATCTTCGGATTGTGGCTGGTCATCAATTTGTAGTTGTAGACAACTCACGTTTATTCGTGTAGTGTCAAGGATACCTTCCCAATTTTGAGCAGGTTGGGGTGCTTTGAATCTCAAAGGCCCTAACGGTGGAGTAGCATATGGAATTTTTTCAAAAGCATAATAAGTTTTGTTTTGTAATGTTATATCTTGTCGTCCTCTAATTTTTCCATTGGGTAATGTGATGATAAGATCATCAATCTGTGTGTTAGGAGTAAAGTTTTACCTATTGCAATTTTTTAGAACTTACAGAAAACCCAGATTGTGTAAGCAGAAGCAAAAACAAAACTGTTCCAAACATGTTTATTGTTACTTTATAACTAATTAAATAAACACCAACGCCAGATTTTATTACTGTGATAAATATATGTTGTATATAGAAATTAATCTTTGAAGAACCCACTTCACCTTTGACAATACAACCTGATTCAGAAGGACCATCACTTGAGTGGTGTTTTGAACCACTGAATTACTCAAAACTGCAAACCAAAATGTTGTATCAACTTTCCTTAGATAGATACAGCTCTTCAAAAATGCAAATTTAATATTAATTTTTTTTAAGTAGAAAAATTAATTTTGTATTTTATTAGTAAGAGACGTTAAAACATGCATCTAGAATATTAAAAATTGAATAAAATTTTGAAAACAATAAGTAAAACGTGAAAAAATCCGCGTCAAATGTAAAGACTTTCTTTAGGTATAAAATCGACAACAACACATCAGTTTCTAAAGAACAAACCAAGATAAATTATAAAACCAAATCTACGCTCCTATTAACTGAACGTTTTCTATCATCATCCAAGCGATTGTACGACCCTTTTGAATCACCGTGTATAAGTTTTTCGAGTAGACAAACAACAAATCTAATTGAATTCTATGAATTCTGTTTGAATTCTTCCATTTCCATTATCAAGGATTTAAACTGGAATACAACGATAACAAAAGTGCTGATTGTGCTTAAAATACTAAAAATAGTAGACTTTTTAATCGTGAAAAACCCAGCTGCTGAGAATGTCGGTAAAACTTCATTTTTTATCACAAAAAATTTGTCCAGCATTTCATTGCTTCGTGTATTTTTCAGATTTTGACAAAGGTTTAGAAGAGCCCTTGCCTCTCTTGTCACCTTATCGCATTTTAGTATTATAACAGTAACAGCAAGCTACAATAAAATATATAGAGAAACTTTCAAACGACGACATCTATTACCAAATAAAGTATAATTATGTTAACATCTCCTAATATCAATTGTATTCTTGCAGCAGCCGAGTCTCTAATTATTGACTCGAAGCAATAAAGAATTCTTAAAACGGCATACATGATTGTGAAAAGTATTGGCCAACCAAACAATTCATTGAAGATGTCTGCGGTTTGTTTTAAAAGATATACACTGTAAGTGCACTTTTTTAAAACTTGAATATTTTTTTGGTGATTTATGAGCAAATGTCTGATAAATCTGTACCTCGAAATTATCATCTTAAGAATAACGTAAATTATAAAATTGTAAAGAAATTTCAAATGTATTTGCACTAATTCAAAGAAAAAACACTTATAATATTCGATTTTCAAAATACGAATCCAAAGTAGTGTGTTGTACATTATTACCACAATATTAACAAAATGTGTGAATGTAATTGTAATCAAATAGGGATGTTTTCTCTTCGTCGGAACACTTTCCAAAACTTTCAGATTCTTGATAAGAGTAATCCATTTGTGTTCATTAAAATATGCCCCAATAAAAATATAATAGTCCAACAGAACTAACGAAATGTCCACCAAAATTCTAATAATTAATTTCACTATAGATAGTTTCACAATAAAGAAAAATCTGTTATAGAAAGTGAATCCAAGACAAAATGTAAAAGAAATTAAAACACACGCTTTATAAATGGTACGGAAACGAGTTTTTCTAATATCCCTTGAAGTTGGAATTGCTGCAGAAACGTTTGCTATTGATATCAACACATTTAACGCACTGAAATCCATTTAACTTCTTGTGAGAATAATTTGAAAAAAATGTTTTCAATGACGTTTACTTTAAGGCAATTAAATGCTTGCTTACATATATTTCTAAGAACTAAGTGTACACACAACTTATAAGAGAGCTTGTCAGTAATGTAAAAGTTCAACTAATTTGTTTTCGTCTCGAGTTTTCTTTCTTCAAGTTTGTCATTTATGAATGTTTTATTAAAACAAAATAGATATTTTTTTGAACAAACAACTGCAATGAGATTGAAATGTGAAAAGTGTACATATTAATTTAAATTAAAACCAAATAAAAATTTATTTTAAAGCAAATTATTACGCGTATATAGCAATTAACAAAACAGATAATAACTGTTATTTCAAATCATTGCATGTATGTATAGTGTTCCAATAAAGGGTTTCTGGTTTAACAATTTTGTTGTTTATAAACAAAAGTATCATAATTTTCTGGTAATGAAGTACTTCCCACCTCGGTATGTAATCTACTATTAGGGTTTTCTAATTCATATCTTTAAGACAAAAATCCTTGAGTTTACAAAAAAAGTGTAATTTTTTAAAGTGCATAGTGATTTTGATAAAGTGTGTTTTTTGTACAATTGGGATATGTACCTGTCTACCTACTGGTTAATCCACTCATTATTTGTAACCTAAATAATAAAAAATACAAAACAAAATCAATAAATCTATTAGTACATTAGTGATGTTTTGTTTTACTTACATAACCATATAGGTATTACAGAAAAAATTAAATTGTTAGACTATTGACGGCACCCAAGTTTTTATAGATATAATTACAAAAATTCAATTCAATTTAGTAATTTTTTTCATATTGAACAATCACGATAAAAAAAGGTTAAAACACAGCACAGCATACGAAATAGTGTTGCTCATTCCACAACGAAAAATCTAGCAGCCGAAAACTCCGGATAATTCTTAAATAAATCAATTAGTTCAATTACATTTTCACCTTTCAAAACGAAACATATCAACCACCGGCATTTCCGCAACTGTGCTGTAATATTTTCACATTCTTGTTGAACGTAATCACTAATTATCATAATAACGAGGGATCCAAACTAAAATTGCAAAAACATTCACAAAGCCTAGAAATATACCTATAGTTGACCGTATTTTTCCATAATTAGAAACCGACTTATATGATAAGGTATCTTTACTTTAGTGTGTAAATACGTCGACTGTTTGAAAACTACTACATTTCATTAAAATAAGTGACTAATTAATTAGATAATCCGTAAATATAAACTAATAATCATTGATCAAGCATAACAACAGCCTTAAACTCCTTTAAAGAACAAAAATTGGCATTACATGCGTGTATACTGTACTGCTTTTATGCTAAAAAAATACAACTAATTAATTATTGGTTGAATCCTTAATTATAAAATCTAGATAACATCGCATCCCCAAAACATAATCTAAAAATGAACAATAGTTTATATAAATTATTTTTTCTGCAAATAATGACCATTACCAACATTACAAATTGCTTAGACAATTTACTCACAAACCATACGATTAGTAGTGGACCAATAAGACTGCTGATTCTACAAACTGAACGATATCCTAAATACGAATTAGCCGATGTTACGGAAATCGTAATCAACTATCTTCACAAACTCAACATTGAGAGTACATTTTATGTTGAAAGTAGAAGTTTGAGTGCTACTACATTAATAAATCTTGGTTCACTCATCGGAATTCACCTAATAATTGCGTGGAAGACGCCAATTTTACACAAATTTTTAAACATTAATCGCAAAGCAATGGCTCGAAACTTATACACGATTCTTCTCCTCAATTCCACTCTACCTTGGAAGAAAGATGGTGCTTGCTGCTGGAGCCCTTTTGGCATTTCACACACATCGTACCTTAATCAGATTCTTTTTACAGATACCTTAGAATTAGAAAGTAAAAATACTAAACGTTTTTCTTTAAAAGTTGCAATGTTTATCAGAATTCCTAGTGCCATTTTGGAAATACCAAAACTGCTTAAACAAAATCCAATATACAAATCACATCAAACAATTGGAGGCTTAGATGGCTTTCTGCTAAAAACCATGACAGATTATCTTAATTTTGACGTAGATATAATTGATAATTTTAATCCCACCATTTTCGGGGAGGTTTTACCCAATGGTACCATAACTGGTAGTTTAGGCACAATAGCCAATAATAAAGCGCACATAAGTGCTAATGGAAGATTTTTAGTAGATTACGGTACTGATGACATAGAATTCACAATCCCTTATGATATTGACAGATTTTGTGCTGTTGTACCCAAATCAAAAAGAGTGCCACAATGGTTATTATTTGGATACTGTTTTGACACATTTATTTGGTTATCTTTGGGTATCATATATCTTGTTTGTAACATTTTTTGGTACTACATAGGACCTAGTCGCCAACACAGCAAAGTTTGTTGGCAAATATTTACCATATTTGTTGGAATTCCAGCAAATATTGCACCAACACATAAACAGATGTTTTTTCTGTTTGGTTGCATTGTTCTAAACATTATCATCCTGAGTGTGGTACAAAGTTCTCTAATTAAGGCATTTACAACACCACCTTTTTATAAGGAAATTAACACTTTAGACGATTTGGACAAAGCAGGTTTTCCGGTAGCTACAAAATTTTACACATTTGACAACGCTTCTAAAACACATAGAAATTTAAGAAAAAAACAGGTTGATTCAATGCCAAATACTTTAGATTTAATAGCTTACAAGAAAAATATGGCAAAAATTACAAGAGAGCGTGATTTAAGTTTTTTTATTCAAGCTAACTATTTGGATCAAGATGGAACGCCGCTACTTCACATGACGAAGGAATGTCTTGCCACATATTTTATATCCTACATAGTACCAAAGGGTTCATCGTTGTTAAATACTTTTAATAAAGTCATTCTTAGACTAGTTGAAAGCGGATTAACAGTAAAATGGTACAATGATGTTCAATTTAGTGTGTTTTTAGAGAAAACATATGGTATTAACAGAAATATATCGCTGTGGAGACCTTTTACTTTATACAATATACAAACTACTTTCTTTTTGTGGTTACTAGGTGTTACTCTTGCAATTTTAACATTTGTGTGTGAAAACTTATGTAGAAAAAAATAGGTACTAGGTATATTTTCACAGAAATATTATTTTAATCTTTTAATTATGTATAAGAAATAATCAAACACAATTGTTAATATGTACGGGGTGAATATAAAGTATGGAACCAAGCGGTTTTATTTTTGATCATTTGCCTCCAGAAAATAATAATTAATATAAATTAGAGTAATATAAAAAATGTGATCGTATTTTCAGAACGAAATTTTGTTTTGTTTTTGAGTTACGCGATTTTTTTTTTGTCAAAATTGCAATTTATGTGAAAATTTTTTTTTTGAAAAAATTAAATATAAAGCAGATAGTTGTAATCCTTAGAGTATAGCTTTTATGAGAAAAATGATTTTATAGTGGGTTGCCATTTAAAAAAATTAATTTTTTTGTAAAACTCAAAAACAAAAAAAAAATTCGAAAAATTTTATTCTTGTTAAATCATCACATTTTTATAGTACTTCATCACTCATCAATTAGTCTTTTCAAAAAATAAATAGTTTAAGCAAAAAACGTTTGGTTCCATACTTTTTATTCACCTGGTATAA